TTTTTTTTTTTTATCCCACCCAGAACATGTCTCAGAACACACCTTTCAAAGATAAGGCCCAGGTGTGACAAATATACTCTGTACATCTACTGGGCTGCCTGGGGCCTTTCTCGAGACATATATATACTGGACAGACTTAAGGGCATATTTCTCAACTTGATAAGTGCACATCTAAATCCCATTAAGGCTAATGGGTTTATACATACACAAAGTGGTGGAGAGCACACTAAAGCACTAAGACAGTTAAGGTTTGTAAGGTCTCCCACAGTCCAGGGCTTAGAAAGCATTGCAAAAAGGAGAAGCAACAGACTGGTACAATGATGTGAAAAGTCAGATAATCCACACTGTTCCTATTGACAGCAAAATGGAAAAACCTTTTAGTTTACACTTTTATTGCTTTTTGCCATCTACATTTTCTTTATCTTCACTGTCTGCAGTCATACTTTGAGAAATGAATGCCTTTTGCCAGCTGTCAAAGTAACTCTTGTCTGCCGTCTTGGGTATTTTTGCAGATCTGAACTACTGTACTCACCACAAGCCATGCAAAAATGGAGCCACCTGCATGAACACTGGCCAGGGCAGTTACACATGTTCATGCAAACCTGGTTTCACTGGTGTTGACTGTGAACATGAAATCAGTGAGTGTGATAGCAACCCCTGTCGGAATGGTGGTAGTTGCACGGTAAGGACTAATTTTTAAATGGGGGTTGTCTTGCAGACTGACTTCCCAAGTATACCTTTAAAATGGCTTAACCAACATATTGGGGAATAAGTGCATAGGTTCATTTCAAAAGCTCACAGATATTGCACAGACTTTTACCTGGAGGTGTCAGAGGAGGGTGTTTGTTACAGGCAGAAATGTACTGCCTGGATCAGAACTACTTGACTAAGTTTTATGTTGCTGCAAAGGCTCTTTATGAGAGCCTTCTGAGACTCAAAATTTTTAAGGGAACAGATAAGCTTCTCCAAACCAAATTGGACACACGCATGTACTACAACTCTCATAATAGTGAAAGGTGTGAGCTTGTGTTTCGGTACAGGATTACAAATATCATACAAAATAAGTTGATCTGTGAAAAACATCTTTGATGGAACAAGCTTATGCATTCTACAGTCTAGTGTTTCAGTGCATTTGCAGAACCATTCAGTGGTTAATTCTACCTCTTGATAAGGATCAGCAGATCAAGCATATCAAATGTACTTTGTTTAGGGGGATCATACGTCCCAGTTTGCCCAGGACAGTCCTGGATTTTGTAGTCCAGTCCTGGCTGGCTGGAAGCTTATAATGAGCGTCCTGGTATCACAAGGGCATGGAGTGTAGTTCAGCAGGGAAGACTAGCAGTGCAGTGTGCCAGGAAGTTGGGAGGGCAGGCACCACTGCTACCCATCTGCTTAGTGTACCATGCTGCTGTGCTGCTGCCTGCAGTAGCACTGCTGACTTGGGAGAAGTGGTGGGGGTTGTGTCCTGACTTTTTCCCATATGGTCACACTAACTCTGTTGCAGTTTTTGGTCAGATAGTGGCACAAGACCTGTCTGCTTACTGCCAAGGCCCTGCAAAAACTATATTTGGAAAGAGCAAAGGATTTAGTTGTGGTCTACCACGTGGGTCATTTCAAAGCATAGTAAAATCTGTCCTCAAACTGGCTACCATGCTTAAAACTGTCTTATCAGAAATCTACAGCTCAGGGCTAAGAGAGCTTTGGAGATCCTATTAAGCAACAGGTATATGTGGTGGTGGTGGTGGTAGTGGTGTCTATTTTAGGTTTTTCCTACTGGGTCTCCAAAATCAGACCTGTTCTGCTTGAGTAGCTATGCAATTACCCCAATATATATATATATATATATATATATATATATATA